GATTTCCAGTTTTCAAAATCTGTAAAAAAATTATAGATAAATAGTATATAGTATGGACTCCAGCATATATGAGGCAGTGAAAGAAAAAAGTATTTGTACCTGAGTCACTTTCTGTACAAGTGTAGTTAAATGGGTACATATTTATGTTCTCCATATTCCAAATCATTAGCTGGAATAGTAACTGTTCATAGATTGTGACAAGTAAAATGTGCTACTTCTGAAAATGCAACTACAACCAGAAGGGTTAATGTATTAAACGGTATGTATAGATATCCTAGTAATTATTAATGTATTAACTAAAATCTTAAAGCAGTACTTAAACAAAATTATTCCACTATGCGAAAATTTTTTCCTTCAAACATTTTTTACCCTTTTTCAAACGTTTAGTGGACAAAAATTCTGCTAATCAAGATAAGCATAGTTTCACAGGTACTAATATTGTTGACCAATTACCACTTTAATGTATATATAAAAAATTTTACTGAATTTTTGAGATTGACAATGTACTTTAGTTGTACTGCTACATTTGCATGCTTTAAGTAACGAGTATTCTAAATTTTAATTGTTGTTATCAATTTTTTGGTAATATCTTTTAACTCATGCATAGGTCTTTTGCATGCATATCATAGATATTTCTGTAATTTGGCCGATCTGCCTTTTTCAGGATCTTCAACCTTCCACCTTGTTTTGGGTGATGGCTCCTTCCATGCTTTCTATGCCTATGTCATAGCATGATATTCAAAGTATTTCAATTGTTGTAGATGGACATTGTTCGTGTCTTTACTGACTTATTAAAGAATTTGACTAAAATTAAAGAATTTGTTTTATGGTCAGTTAATTTCAGTTGTAAAATTCTTCTCCAATTGAACATTTCCGTGTTGTGATCTTTATTCTTTCGCATTGTCTTAGAGACAGAAATTCATATTTTTATGTGAGTATCAAGCAGTTAATCCAGCTCATTTTTTAGAAGGTGAAATTTTAGTCCTTCGATACTTTTGTCATTCTTTTTTGTCAAAAACTTTTAATAGATTACAGATATATTTTATCTCCTTATGTAGTGACCATGTGTTTGTGATCAATGATCCCAGATATGATGGGCTCACATCAATCGTATGTAATGTACTTTATGTATGGATGATTGTTATGTAGTCAATTTATTATCACGATCTTTGTCTTGTTTAACATATTTAACTACAGGCCAAATATTTGATGCTTACTTTTAACTAAACTTATAAGATCAATTAATTAATTAAACTTTGACGGTATATAAGGCAACTATCGAACACGGTGATTAATTTAGGTAGTACTTTCGATCAATAGATCATCTTCAGGGGCATCTGAAATAAGCCAAGAAACGTTTTTTATAAAAAAGGAAAATTAATTCAATTTGTGTATTGTATTTTGTATTGTTATGTCCAAATTTACATTTATGACATTCTACTCATGTCGGATAGGCCACATCTAACGAAGTAAGTCTATAAACGGTTATCACATATAAAATTTTTTCAACCATAAACTTGGAGTTTTTTATCCAAGTGAATTAATTTTCCTTTTTTATAAAAAACGTTTCTTGGCTTATTTCAGATGCCCCTGAAGATGATCTATTGATCGAAAGTAGTTGGGCAAGATTAAATTAATCACCGTGTTTGATAGTTGCCTTGTATACCGTCAAAGTTTAATTATTCGAACATTCAACCTTATATTGAATTAATTAATTCTATTCAACTATTCACAAGACTATGTGTTGTATACAAAATGGTTAATGTTTATTTTTAACCATTTATTCTCATAATGCTCTTCACATATGTATTAAATAATTGTAGAGACAATATAATTCCTTATAGGTAAATTACTATTTAACTGGGAATAAGCCACAATTAAAGATAAAAATACGTTTATTGACGTTTCAATTTCCACTTCGGAAATCGTTCTCAAAATACAAACAGTATCAGAACAATATCCTTATAGGTAGTTTTCAATAACATTAAATTAGGGTCAGAAAAAACCTTTTTTGCTGCAATCAATTCTTTTATTTTAATATGTTGTCAAATAATCTTTAAGTATTGAAAGTGATACAAAGTAGCAAGCAATACAAATACAAATACAAAATCAATAATAACCTTTATTTTGAAATTTGTACATATTATATATATATATATATATATATATATATATATATATATATATATATATATATATATATATATATATAAATATATATATATATATAAATATATATATATATATATATATATATATATATATATATATATATATATATATATATATATATATAAAGGAAAGATTCGGAAAGATTTCCGCGGTTAGTACAATGAAACCTAGAGCTAAGATTAATATTATTACTAAAATTAATATCAAACTCGACAGTCTTCCAGGTTGAACCGCGTCGATTTCCATTTTGCCGAGCTTTCGGCATTCTCTCTGATGCCTTCCTCAGCGCTTTCGAGGTCTCAGTCTCCCGAGCCCCCAGACACTACTACACTGTTCACTAATCACTGCACTGTCACTACTCACCAGTAGTACTACTGGTGAGACCAGACCATACCAGACCATCTACTAGTACAGACACGGTTTAGATGCAAAATCAGTCGACAGGTAAAGGAAAAATATTCAAAACACGAAAAACTAAACTTAGATAACCTAAAAGTCTCTGAGGTACAATAAAGATTTGAGAAAACAGTGGATGAAAAATTACTAGAGGAAACAGAGCAGACTTCACAATAGAAAACCTATGGAACACCATAAGCAGCATTATACTCAACACAGCGAAAGAAGTCCTAGAAACAAAGACACAACGGAGAGAAGAAACATGGTTCGATGAAGAATACAAACAAGCTATACAGGAAAGAAATGAAGCACATAAGAATTAAATATAGAGAGGGAGTTGGTGTAATTATATTAGTGAACTGTATAATGATGATAGACCCGAAGAACTGGAGACTTTAGTTGAAGGTGAAGGACCAGAAATACTAAAATCAGAAATACTGCATGCTATAAAGTTAGCAAAGAACAAGAAAGCCGTTGGCCCTAATAACATACCGACAAAGATGTTAAAGCTTATAAATGAGGAGAACATTGAAATACTGGTCAAGCTTTTCAATGATGTTTATTCGACTGGTGATATTCCTGAAGATTGGTTAAAGTCCGAATTCGTAACACTACCAAAAAAAACAACGTCCGAAAAACTGTAGCGATTATAGAATGATAAGCCTTATGAGCCACACTTCGAAAATATTTCTACGCATCATCCACAGTAGAATCAGAGATAAATGTGAAGAAGACCAGGATGAAACACAATTTGGCTTCAGAAATGGACTGGGAACTCGGGACGCCCTCTTTGCACTAAATGTATTACTGCAGAAATGTCGAGATCAAAGGAAAGACGTGTTTGCTGTATTTATTGATTATGAAAAGGCCTTTGATCGAGTACATCATCACAAATTAATTACAATATTAAAAGATAAAGGAGTTGATAGTCAAGACATACGATTCATAGAAAAGTTATACTGGCGTCAAACAGCGATAGCTTGCATAAACGAAAAATCAACAGAAATATGTAAAATACAAAGAGGTGTCAGACAGGGTTGTATACTATATCCACTGTTATTTAATTTATATTCACATAGAATATTTAAAGAAGCATTGCATAATTTGGAATGGGGCGTGAAAGTTAATGGAATTCTGATAAATACAATCAGATATGCAGACGATACAGTTATTTTAAGTGATGACATGAATAGACTACAATGTCTTTTAAATGCCATTGATACAGTGGGAAGAGAGTTTGGCCTAAACATAAACTGTTCAAAAACAAAACACATGGTGTTTAGCCGTTTAGCACATCAAGATGCACGAGTATATGTTGATGGTCATATAATTCAAAGAGTGTCCAGTTTTAATTATCTTGGTTGCCATATTACTGAACAACTAGATCCAGATCAAGAGATAAAATGTAGAATCAAGATAGCCCGCACGACATTTTTAAAAATGAGGTCATTCTTGTTTAATGATAACTTGCAACTTCAACTTCGAAAGCGCATGATTAAATGCTACATTTGGTCAGTCCTCTTATACGGTGTCGAAGCATGGACATTAAAAATATTCACCATTAATCGTCTGGAGGCCTTTGAAATGTGGCTGCACAGACGTATACTAAAAATTCCATGGACGGTTATGCTGACAAATGTGCCTGTCCAAATGTAGAAAGATGGCCTATTTTGGACACGTAGTAAGAGGAGACCGATATAATATTCTTCAACTTATTATGATGGGTAAAATCGAAGGACGCAGAGGAATTGGTAGAAAGCAGGCCAACTCTTTAGAATAACTCGAGACAGAGACAGTTTCGCCATGTTAATCGTCAACGTAAAGGGGACTTGATAGGGCACGTTAAGAAGAATACAAACCGAAGTCTAGCCTCTTCAAAAATAAGAAGGGTGAAATCATTATCGATATGGACCAAATTAAGAGAACCTGGATGACATATTTTAATGAATTACTAAACAAAGGGACACAACCACCATTACAACAACAGAGGCAGCAGCAGGCATGGTAGGAGGTACAACAACAAGAGCTGGGGAAAGATGGAGAAGAAAATGAATTAACTAGACCCGCAACGCTAAAGGAGGTGCAAACGGAAATCCACATACAAAAAATCCATAAAGCACCTGGAATAGATAAAATACCGGCAGAACTACTCAAGCAAGGAGGAAGGAATTTGAAACAAAAGATGTACCATCTAATACGCGAGATATGGATAGAAGAAGAACTCCCCATCAATGGAAGAAAAGTATAATCTGTACAAAATTGATTACAATATGTTTATGTTTACATACATATACAATCTGTTTATATACAAGTTATGATACAACATCTAATATAATTACACTAAGTTGTAATTATTGAAGCTTGTTTGTATTGTAATAATAAATGTGAACTTAATTTTACGTATTTATTGCAAACTAGTAATACAGCATAAATTACGATGTGTTTAAGTGAATGTCTGGAGATGAACTGCTGGTAACTCCCACTTCACACGCTGGTTCTTGGCAAGTTCGCTAGAGGAATGAAGGGCAGCGCAGATCAGGGACGGCGCTGCACAAATGGCTCGAACATACTCCCCACCTTGATAGGCTCCTTTCAACCATCTAGAGGGAGTGGACATATTTTGTTGAATCCACGTTTGATGATGCCAGTGGAAGTTTTTATCGAAGCTACTCGAATGATATTGTCTCTTCCAGGATGCGCGCTGATTATTCGGCCTAGTTGCCAATGGATTGGATTGGTGTTGTCGTCCTTTATGAGGACCAAAGCTCCATCTTTGAGGGCTTCTTGATTTTTCTTCCAGCGTCCCTTGACTTGAAGCTGGGAGATGTACTCTGTTTTCCATCTTGTCCAAAAGCCTTGGCACATCTGCTGGATGAGCTGGTATCGGTTTAGTCTATTGACCTTTATATCGGTCAGATCTTGATCTGGAACTGCTATCATTGGTTTACCAATAAGAAAGTGAGCAAGTGTTAAAGGATTAAGGTCATTAGGATCTGGACTAATAGGGGAAAGAGGGCGTGAGTTTAAAATTGCCTCTATTTGAATAATTAAAGTTTGAAATTCTTCATAAATAAGAACAGTTTTTGACAGAACTCTTTTTAAATGTAATTTTGACGATTTTACTCCGGCTTCCCAGAGTCCACCAAAATGAGGTTAATAGGGCGGTATAAATTGCCATTCAATTGATGAATTCAGAATTTGTTAATGAGCATAATTTGTCAGTTAATGCATGTGAATTTAAAAGAGATGCCAATTCTCGTTGGGCACCTATAAAATTGCTTCCATTGTCTGAGAATATTTTTACTGGTTTTCCTCTTCGAGATACAAACCTTCGTAAAGCTTGTAAAAATGCTTCAGATGAAAGACTTGAAATTAATTCTAGATGTATGGCCTTGGTGGAAAAGCAAATGAAAAGACCTATGTAACATTTAGTGACTTTGCATCCACGACCTTTTTTGTCTTTTATAAGGAATGGACCTGCATAATCAACACCCGTTATTGTAAATGGACTAGAAGGCATTACTCTAGCATTAGAAAGATTTCCCATTATAGGTTGTATGGGTTTTGCATTGAATCTAAAGCATCTTATACACTTTCTAACAGTAGCACGAGCTAGGTTGCGACCAGATGTGGGCCAGTAAATATCTCTTATAGTATTGAGAAGTAATTGAGCACCACCGTGTAGTAATATAAGATACTGTTCTTGAAACAGTAATTTTGTGAAATGATGATTTCCATCAATTAGAATAGGGTGTTTTTTATTGAAGTCGTAATCAGAATACTTGAGTCTACCACCAACGCGCAGAATATTCTGACCGTCTAGAAATGGTGTGAGGCCACATAACCTATTTTTTTGATGGGAGATGTTTATTGTTAGATATATCTCTGATTTCATTATAAAATTATTGATTTTGACTTACTTTGAGTAATGAATTTAGGGAATACCTTAGTTCCGATAATGTCAAAACACCGGTTTTGCGATGATTCCCTTTAGCACAATTGTTTGCAAATCTGAATATGTAACTTGCGACTCTACACATTTTAGAGAAATTAGAAAATCGATCAAACGGAAAGCTCAAATTATCTGGTACATTTTGAAGTAATAGAGTTTGAGTTCTTAATTCCGGTAAATTGTCTACTTCAAATTGTTCATTGACCATGTCACCATGTTTCAGAATTTAATATTTGACTGGGAAACATCCCTCTTGAAATGAAATCTGCTGGATTTTCCTTGGTCGAGATATGCTTCCATTGGCAATTTCTCGTTAGTGACTGTATTTCCGAGACACGATTACCTGTGAAAGTTTTTAGCAAATTTGGACTGGTTCTTACCCAAGCCAGTGTTATAGTTGAATCGGACCAAAGAAAATGTTGATCAAATTGTAAGTTTATTGATGCCTGAACCTTATCTACTAGGCGTACCAATAGCAAGGCGCCGCAAAGCTCTAGGCGAGGAATACTGATGGTTTTTAGAGGTGCAACCTTGGATTTTGCACACAGCAAACTAACTTGTACTTTACCATGTTTATCGCAACTTCTAATGTACACACAGGCACCATATGCACGTTCCGATGCATCACAGAAACCGTGCAACTGCAATTCTGTTGGATTGCATAATATAGCATGCCGTGATATTGACAAATTGTTTAACAATGGAAGTTCGTTTTGCAAGCTGATCCACTTAAAATACAATCCTTCAGGTAAATTGTCATCCCACGATAATTTATTGCACCATAGGTTTTGCATAATGATTTTACCTATGATAGTACATGGGCTTAATAGACCTAGAGGATCAAAGATTTTTGCTATTGAGGATAAAATGGATCTCTTAGTGATTGTTTGTTTAGACAAACTTGTATTGATATTGTAACATAAACTGTCATTCGAACAAGACCATATTAACCCTAAAATCTTAGTTTTACTATCACCGCTCGAAAACTCTAAAATATCGAAAGAGGATTGAGAATTGGCTATATCCTTTAGAATTTCTGGGTTGTTGGAGCACCATTGTCTCAGGTGGAAACAACCAGTCTCTAGTACCTTGGATACCTTGCTGCAAATCTCTTGAGCTTCTTGAATAGAGTCAGCTCCGGTCAGCATATCGTCGACATAAAAGTCCTCCTTGATTATTCTTGCAACCTGTGGGTTAGAATCTTCAATCTCGTTTGCTAATTGCACCAAACAACGTATAGCGAGAAAACTTACTGAAGCTTGACCGTAGGTAACAGTATTTAATTCGTACGTTTTTAATGGTTTTGAGGGATCTTCAAACCATAAGATCCGCTGTAGTGAGCGCTGCTCTGGATTTATTAGGACTTGTCTATACATTTTAGCGATATCGGCAGACACAACACAGGCATATAGTCGAAACCTCAAAATTATAGAAAATAGATCATGTTGAAGAAGAGGTCCAATTAATTGAATATTGTTTAAAGATATTCCGTTACTAGTAGCAGCAGATGCATCAAAAACAACGCGCAGTTTTGTAGTAATTAAAGATTCTTTTGTCACCTCATGATGAGGTATATAATATTGACATTGTCCATCATTTTGGTCTAATATAGGAGACATATGGTTCAGTTCTTCATATTCAGTCATAAATTCAACATATCTTGATCGCAATGTAGGATTTTTTACCAAACGTCTTTCGAGAGAATAGAATTGTTGCTACGCATGAATTCTTGATTCACCTAAGTTTTTTGGCTCTTGCTTTAATGGTAAATTTACAATAAATCGTCCATCACAATTTCTTGTAGTAGTTGTTTTGAATATTTGTTCACACATAATCTCATCTTGTGAAAGCACCTTAGAATTTTCTAGTTCTTCAAGCTCCCAAAATTTAGCAAATGCTTGAGATAATTCTTGATTGGCGCTAATATTGCATGAAGCCGTATTGGGATTAGCAGCTCCAAGTGTTCCAGAAACAATCCATCCAAGTTTAGTTTCTTGTAGATGGGGCTTATTTTTCCCTAAGGATATTTTATTGGTATCTAAAAGTTGCCAAAACAAATCCGCTCCAATAAGCATGTCAATTGTAGAGGGTTTGAAAAACTCGGGATCTGCAAGTTTTATATTGTGAGGAAATTGCAACTCAGAGATACTAAGAACATTGGCTGGCATATAACCAGTAATCTTTGGTAGGATATAACAAGCCAGATCGGCCTTGAAGGTATTATATTTTGATTGGATTGATACCTGGCATTTGCTTCTGACAGAAGAAATGTTATTGGTTATACCGAATATTGATAAATTAGTGTTTTGAATAGGAAGATTAAGTTTTCGTTGAATGCCTTCCGTTATGAAAGAAGTTTGAGATCCGCAATCAAGGAGAGCTCTAATTGAGTGAAGATTGTTTTGATTGTCACAAATAAGCACGTATGCAGTAGATAATAAAACCTGTCCTACCGATATAGAGTTAGATACGTTACTATATAGTACATTTGCGCTCCCTTGACCTGAGCCTTGCTCACTTAATGACGTGTCGTTATTGTGGTCATGCAGAAGTGTATTGTGTCTTGATTTGCACTTCCTACATGGACCCAGTTTGCATTTATGTATAGTGTGTCCTTCTCTTAAGCAATTAGAACACATAGCTGTTGTTTTGTTAACAAATTGAATTCTATCGTGGACCGAAAGTTTTAGGAAGTCATTGCATGTATATATAGAATGTTCACCCTTACAAAATGAACAACTTATTATTGTTTGTACTTGGTGAAATATTTTAAAGAGTATACAAAATTAGCTCGCTCACGCAAAAATGTTAGAAATTTGTCTAAAGTATGTGATTCAGTTGTATTACGCGTTTGTCTTTCCTAATCGCTTAGAGATGCGTTATCAATTTTTTGACAAAACCAAAATATTAGTAAACAATCCCAATTTTGAGTAGATTGACCTAATTGCTGTATTGCTCCCAAATGTTTCGAGATGTTGTCTGCTAATTGTTGTAATTTATCGTGAGAACCTTTGTGAATAGATTCCAAAAGAAATAAAGCACCTATGTGATCATGTAACATTTTTTTAGTATTATTGAATCTTTCGCATAACGTGTCCCATGCTACTGTATAGTTATCTGCGGTGTACCGAATATTACTTATAGATGCAGCAGCATTGCCTTCTAGAGCACCCCGCAAATAGAAAAACTTTTCAATATTGGTTAGTCTATCGTTTTGGTGGATAATACTAGTAAATGTATCACGAAACGCAAGCCACAAATTGAAATCTCCATTGAATTTATTTAGTGAGATGTCTGGGAGTTTATACCACCTGATTGACATGAATGAGATTGATTAGAACTAACTTTCGAACGTTGAGAAGCGGAATCGCCATGATCTTTTAATAATAATTTTGCTGTAGCTATAGCAATATAAAATTTTGTTTCAAATGTATCAAGTTCTTTGTCGAGTTCATCTAGTGCAATATCGTCAGACATTAGTTCAATATCGTTATTAATATTCTTAAATTCTAATAATAAAGATGAAGCATCGTTTACTCTATCTTTTAATGTAAAAAATATCTAATTCAGTTAATGTGTCTTTTCTCAGTGTATCTAAATATTTATTAAAACTTGTTAATGATCGTTTAATAATGGCTCTTTTTTGTTTTAAAATTTTTAAATCAGAATCAGACATTTTAATTTAAAGAAAATTGTACTAATTACAGTTATTAATTCCTTTGTTTTATACAAAAATTTATTATAAACACAAAATGCAAATAGGCAATTAAAAACGGTAAAATATGTGGTTAAAATAATATTGGTATATAAAAGGAAATTTGAGACTCACTTTTTATCGCAGCGAAGAAACGTGTTTTACCCACGGCCAGTGGCGATTCTAAAAATAGTTCCTTGCTTGCTGAATCTTGAATCGACGATATGGCGGCCGGCGTTTGGGTAAATTACAATGTTTTCAATTAATACTTTGATTGTTGATTGCACTGGATTATTATCTGCTCGTAGGACCATGTAATTATTGAAGCTTGTTTGTATTGTAATAATAAATGTGCACTTAATTTTACGTATTTATTGCAAACTAGTAATACAGCATAAATTACGATGTGTTTAAGTGAATGTCTGGAGATGAACTGCTGGTAACTCCCACTTCACACGCTGGTTCTTGGCGGGTTCGCTAGAGGAATGAAGGGCAGCGCAGATCAGGGACGGCGCTGCACAAATGGCTCGAACAAAGTAGTAAAGGTGACAGTCTTTTAAAAAACGAACTATGGCACTGTACATGTTTGTAGAACCTAGTAGATCACTTAAATTATTTTGAAAGTTGTAGTAGTCTCTTTGAGGTTTGTAGTGTACACATTCTAGTAATATGTGTTGGACTGTTAAGGACTCATTACAATGTTCACATCGACGATGGTTTTCCGAAGACATCAGATATCCATGAGTAAGACGAGTGTGACCTATTCTGAGCCTTCTAATAATGATATTGTCTTTTCTGCTCATTTGAGGCATGGTGGTGGAGGTAACAGTTGGTTGAATTGTGCGTAGTTTTGTATTTTGCATGTTTCAATGTGTTTGCCAAGTGCTTAGTACGTTGTTTTTGATACTCGCCTTTAGGTCTTGGTAAAGTTTTATGTTTTCCATATTTTCTAAGGAGCGGGCCAGTTTTGCTGCATGATCAGCATTTTCATTTCCATTGATACCAACATGGGATGGTATCCAGATGATAGTTACTGAAACACCATTTCTTGACTGTTGCTGGCAGATACTGTGGATGGGCTGTACAATGGGATGTATGGAGTATACATTTCTGATTGAGTCAATGGCGGAGAGAGAGTCGGTGCATATTGCTAATGATTTATCATTAGCAATGGGCGGGTCTAATGCCTTAAGTATTCCATACAGTTTGGCTGTGTATATACTGCATCTGGAAGAAAGCCGATGTGACGCTATTGTTGTGTTTGAGGTACTGACGGCACAACCGACGGCCTGTTCATCTTTGGAAGCATCTGTGTAGAGAATTTTGTCATAACGCTGGGTCTGTATAAGTTCCTCAAATTCTTGTACCAAGATAGATCTGGGCGTTTCTTCTTTTTTGTATCGGTTCAAGCTGGTAAGGACAGTAGGTAGCTTTTTGGTCCACGGGGAAATTCTGGACGTAGTAAACGGAGTTGTGAGTTTTAGGTCTATGTCTTTTAGTAAAGTTTTTGAAATTTAAAATAAAATCCACAAGGAAAACAATTCCTGTAGCTGGCTGTATACCACGTATCACAAAAAGAGGTTAGTCTTCGTAAGTGGGTATATTTATTTAAAAAACCCTTAAAAGGGCTACATAAAAAAAACAAACGTTTTCGGACTAAACAGTCCATCATCAGGTTTAAATTTTAAAATTGCCTAAAATAAGTATAAACCATTTAGTTAAAACAAACGTGGTTATGAAATTTTGAATATGGTTAAAAAGCCAAAATGGCTATACTTACTAGGTTAAAATGCCAGAGCCACCAAAATACATGGGTAAAACCCCTTTAAATTACATATAGTTATAAAAGATTATACATCTTGTTGTTAAAAAACTGTGATGTTCAGTATTACATTAAATATGACTTCAGGTAACATACATTGTTGAATTGAGTTCCAGAGCCGGGGAGTAAACCTCTACGCACGAAGAACAGCTGGAAACTGATTGACAATATACCTATGAACGGTGTCAAAATCAAAATGTCAATGTAACATGGAACTATATTAGTTATACCTAGTATTACTCCGACAAAATCGGATGAGATTTTTGAAGTTTGTCGACGAGTTCTGAGTTAGTTAAATATATACAAATTCTGTTATTGGATATTCTGGATGCGAATAGGATTTGTTTGGGACCAATAGCGTCACCTACTGCCTTGACGCAATCGAACAATTTTAGATTTTTATCGGCATGCAATACTATGGCTTGATCCCTCTTTGGAAAAGTTGATTTAGGAGTTGATTTCGTTGCAGTTGCGTATGAGGAGGTTGAAGTAGAATTATGTTGAATATTTTGTGACATCTTGAAAAGTTATGAACTGTGAGGATCTGATGTGAGAACTGTATTTGTTATCGGTACCCTTGTAGTCAAAGGTAGACGAAAATTTTAATTATTTGTTAAATTTAATTAGGTTTTATGTATTTTCTTCCAAAAATACATATTAGGTAGGCCTACGCCACTGGAAACTTGCCCAGTTTTGAAGAAATTATTAATTTGCTAATTAACTAATCGCTCCAAAAAACAAACATGTAATTAGGCTTATCAATACATACGGTAAAGTCTGGTCTTACTAGTATTTAAAAGTAGTTGTTAGGTTTCACAAAAAGCACTAAAACTCGAAACAAAACACTGATATGATGTTACCTCGTTCAAGTACACACTCGGAATGATTTTTAAAGTGTTACTTGATTTTATAATTATATTTTCCTTCGTGTTATTAATTATTATAAAAGTATAAGAAGGTGGTGTTACTTTGTAACTGTAAAACGGGACAAAAAACGTTTTTTCATAATTAATGGTTAAACCCTTATAATTAAACCATTTTATTAGTTTGAGCATATCTAGCTTAATTTTATTGTTTAAATTCTATTCTTAAATGTTTCCAATTGTCTGCGCTATATAAAATTGCAGTGTGATCGGTAAAATTTGCTATCGTCCCCTCAGTATTGAGATTAGAATAGATCATTGACATGGATATTGAATAGTAGTGGTCCTAGTACTGTACCTTGCGGCACACACGCTTGGAGCACCTCTTAAGTGAAGTTTTTTGCTGTTTATTATTTATCCTGACAATTTGTTGTCTGTTGTCCAAGTAAGACTTCAGTAAATTATGAGGAGTGCCTCGTATTCCACTATTTTCTAGTGCTTCTAATAGTTTTGGAAGGCTTACAGTATCGAATGCTTTTGCCAGGTCCAGAAATACACAAGCCGTAGGTTGGCTATTATCAATTCGATTGTATATTTCGTTAGTGATTTTTATTATTTCGTCATTTGTCGATAAAACTTCACAGAATCCAAACTGTGAAGACGATAATATGCTGTGTTTATCAAAGAAAGATGTTAGTCTGATTTTAAGACATTTTTCAAAGATTTTTGTTACAGTTGTAATTAGTGAGATTGGTCTGTAGTTTAACAAACTTAGTTTATCTCCTTTATTGTATATAGGAATTACAACTGTTTCCTTAAATTTGTCTGGACATCGCCCAGTTTTAAATATTAAATTTATTAGTTCCACCAACGGTTTGATGATTTGTTTATCTATTACTTTTATTGTTTCTGCTCTAATGTTGTCAATACTGGGTGATTTTTTCTTCTTAAGTATTTTAATAATTCCCTCAATTTCACTTTCAGAGACGGGTCTTAAATACATAGAATGCATGACGCTGTTGTATTGTGGGAAATACGATGTCGGTGGTGTTATATTCTTGGCATAAGTTTCTCCAATTTCTGTAAAATAACGAGCAAACGAATTGGAGATAGTTTCATCATCTGTTATGGTAATTCCTTCTTGTGTAACTATTCCTTTAATATTTCTTTCGGTTTCTTTACCTCTCAATTTTTTAACAATATTCCACAGGTTTTTGGAAACATTCTTGTTCTTCTCAATTTCATTTCGAAAGTAATATTTCTTAGCATTTTTTATTAATATATTTAGGTGTTTTCTATAATTAAAATATTCATTTTTTTATTAACATTATCAGGATCTTTGACATGTTTACGCTACAAAATATTTTTTGTGTTTATGGATTTAACCAGTCCTGCAGTTATCCAACTTTGGCGCTTCCTTTCATGTTTTTTGTATTTTTTTATATAACTATTTTTTATTGTAAGTTTGTTAAGAATTTCACATAATAAATTGCATTTGATATTGACATTTTTTGAGGCATTATATTCACACCAGTCATAACTTTCTAAGTCTTTTTTTAGTTCTTTGTAATTGATTATGTGTTGTTCTCTGCTTAGTTTTGTATAAATACTTTAAGTGGTAAACAAATAACAGTCGCTTTATGATCAGTAACACAAGTGTCCACGACTGCTGCTTTAGTTTTTCTAATAATTCCCTGTGATTCCTTGTAATTTTAAAAAAATGTGATCAAGACAACTTTTAGAATTTCTTTGTATTCGTGTATATTTGTTGACCATAGATTCAAATTGGTATTCACACATCAAATTAAGGTCTTCGTAAGCACGTTCATTAGTTATATCCTTAATATTAATGTCACCGAGTAGTATATGGCACGCTGACCGTTCTTCTTTTTGATGTTCTAAATTTTGTTTTAAATCTTCAAGGAATTCCTCCACGTCACCAGATGGTGAATCAAAAACACAAGTAACTAAAACTTTCTTATTACTTTCTAATTGGATAAGTAATTCAATTGCTTGAGAATGCCCAATCATTACCTTTTTATATGAAAAAGAAATGGTTTTTTTATAGATACTGCTACCCCGTCATTTCTATTGAAATTTGAATCACTATGTATTCATGGTTATTGTAATATTGTACATCACATAGTTTAAAAATTTCAGTTAGTATTATTAAATCGAAATCTGAATTTAGTTGACTTAATACTGCACTAAACTCATTAATGTTTTTTGTTAAGCTTCTAATATTTTGGTGAATTATTTTTAAGTTAATTTGGTTTTCGAAAATTTTGGTTTTCTACAGTTCTTTTTCGTACCGTAAATGGACTTATAGAATAATTCATCAAAGCTGAAAGTGACTTAAAATCCTGTAACTGCATGACACTTACTCTAAATGGGTGTTTAGGCCTGCAAGTTTTTATAAAATTAGCCCAGTCATTACAAGTAAATATTTCCGAGGATGATAAATGTTTTTTCGCTCTCTCTATGATGTTGTGTTCGCCATCAACCTCCATGTGTGTGTGGCCAAGAAGTAGAAATTTATTATTTATTATTTCAACCCCTGGAATGTAAAACACCAGCCAGAAGTACAACATTACCATCATCATGATCCTATTTTGGCCTGCACAATTATCTGCTGTTACTTCCTTGGCACCTGAGTTCTGCAAATAATTAGTAACTCATTTCAACATGCATAAGGCTATTTCATTACCTCCACGTCCTCCTCTTACCTCATCCAACAACATACACCAGGTAGCGTGACCGGGCTCATGAATTGTGTAATTTAGGGTCCATAATTTACTCAAATAAAAGCTAGACGAATTTGTTAAAAAAAGGCGTCGGCAAACATTTTTGAAGATATACTATATACACTTTATAAGATTGATCATTTGATACTATTTCTTTATCCTTTTTTTAATTGTAACGAAGCTACGCTTCTGTTACATGATTTTCTTGATCAGTTCTAACTTTTTCTTTTTCGGCATTGCTCAATGTACTTTCTCTAAGTTTAGTAGTAAAATGAATCGCAAGTGTCACATGTATCATTACTGGGTGGATGGAAGGAGTAATTACATTCTTCGTTGAACACTTGCCTAAGTGCCAATCTTTTGCCGGAATTTGCCGTAAGGATTGACATTGTTCTACTTACAGGGAGTACATTTTGGAAATGTTGAAATGGCCACCTAAATATAATTTTTTTGTTCGTTCTCTACTATAATGTGACTGGTACGTTGGATACTTTTTAATGTGTTCTCTTATATTCTCTACAATAGACTCCAATGTTTTATTAGATGGGGTATGTCGTCCTCGTAAGTCAGGTGTTATAATACCAGAATTAAGAGCTTTTTAAAGCTGTTTTAACAAAAGTATTCGAAACTGAAAGAGTATTTAAGAAAAAAGTTTTGCACACTTTTATATCCTGAATATTAGATGTTAGTGTGTACGTAAAAGTATTTTGTTTTTCTTTTCCGTCATTGGTTTGGTTCTCGGTACGTCTACGAGCAATGTCCCGGGATTTTACATGCGAAGCAACATATTGTCTTTTGCAATACCAAGTTGTCTCTTCACTCCACAACGCATTAAAAATATGTTGCCTCTGAGTTTCATCCAATTTTGTGGAGCATTTGTTTCGACAATTTCGACAAGCAGGCTTCATTTGTTTTCCTGGAACGGATGTTCCTAATGATCAAACGTATTTTTTTTCCAGCAGATTTTTTGGATTTCCTAAGGTTTTTTGTCCACTGCTTCTCACACTGTACTCGCTTTTTACCTTTTGCTACACCAGTATTTTCTACTGTAATTTCATCATCAGAATCTGTATCCGAGTATGGATACATTGATGGTAGAGTATTCTTGGTAGGCTGTTGAATGGGATCCGCATGAATTTCGGAATCAGAATCACTTGGAATAAAGTCCGGATCTACATCTGAATTATAATCTTCATTTGTTTCACTGCATCCTATAGGAACCACGACAATATAATTTTCTTCTATACCAACTAGTAATTTAGATAAACCATCAGTATTACCTGTATTACAAGAGACTATTCCCCTTGTTACATGATGTCACTTTTACATCATTCTTAGTTTTGCATTGAAAGGTATAACGAGTTATTGTTTTGAAACAAAATTTTCTCTTATCTGTGCTTCGTTCATTTTTATAATAAAGTATTTTATTTAGCCCAATGGAGAAAAAAATATATAAAAGATAATCAATTTTGGTAAACAAACATTTTGGTTTTATGTGATTTTAGAAAGCTACAGAATGTATCCCTACTTTTGCAAGGCAAATAAAGTCTTTTTAATGCGATTTTTTATATGTGCTTTTCTGAAGAACGTCCACCACATACAACGAGAGCTTACTGTAGTTACATTCTTATCTGCATCAACAAAAATTTGTATGGATTTCAACTTACCTGTTATGTTAGTACCTATGCAGTGTTTTATTTTCCTCTAAGCATTTCATCAATTCTCTGTTAAATATATTAATTTTTGCTTTGTCCATATTACAATAAAAAGATAAAATAATCTTGCATAAACAAATAAAATCACATAAATTCGTTTGCTTATGACAGTTCAACGGTTTTACTATTTTTTAATTTAAATAAGTAAGTTAGGTTAGGATTTAATTTGACAAAATGTAAACAGCGCTGTACCTAAGCAAAATTAGTTAGAACCATAGAGACCCAACTCCAAGATAGGTTTACTTAAATAAACTTGTTTGAACCAAAGTAATCCATCTACCAATTAGGTTTATTTGGTTCTAAAAATAAGTTTAACTTGGGGTTCTTTAAACAATTAAATTTTCCGTAATTTTATGTATATGGAGAAAGGCTGTTATAGAATAATAAACAAGCAGTTTATTACTGTATATATCCTATATCAGACAAAAATGGAGTTGGGTTAGTCTGGCTCTCAGGTACATATATATATATATATTATATATATATATATATATATATATATATATATATATATACATTATATATATATATATATAATATATATATATATATATATATATATTAGTATAATGGTAAGGTTAATTGGGTTAGCAGCTGAATAACTTCATTCAGCTGCTAACCCAATTAACCTTACCATTATACTAATTAATAATTGGACAGCTGTGATCATTCTTCGTTTATTATATATATATATATATATATTTATATATATATATTATATATATAATATATATATATATATATTTACGGCCAGCTATCAAAGTGAGACCTCACTACTACCGTACCAAATGAGGACACCATTAAATCGACGTAATACGTGAGCCGCATGTAGATTTATATAATGTTTGAATAATATCGAAAGTGGTTTTTCACCAATATACTCCGAAAATATTATTAAGGAAAAAGTTTTTTTTTTTGGAATATATTGTTACCATGTGAGGACCAACTAAACAACTATCAAAGAGAGGACCGCATGAGTTTTTTACCTGAAATGTAACCAAGTGAGGTCCGTGATGGATATACAGCGCGCTAAGTGAGACCCACCAAATAATGTAAGAGGGGTAAATCTATTTTTAGAACAACTACATAATATTGAGATATTATATTCGTGTTATCGTGTTTTTATGTGTTTTTAATGTGAAGTTACAGTTGAAACAATTTTTAAATAAAATAAGAAGTCTGAGGCGACTTAGATTGGCAGGTAAGTTGTTTCTATTTTATTAGAGTATTTTTATTTATTCTTTTTTATAAAAATTAAATCTTGTTCTTTTAAAGGATGTGTTTTGAATTTCTCTAAAAAATTAAACTACAGGTAATTGTAGCTCTAAATTTGATGGGTGGTGGTGGTGCAGTTGATTTTAATTCTAAATGGGATCAAGTAGCTTTATTAGGTTGTACTTCCATTTTTGATTTGGCCTGCCTCGTCTTTTCTTCGTTGATCCTCCCATTTCCTTTGTCTGTTTTCGTGTCTTTTGTTTTCGTATTTTTGTGAATTATCCAGTTCTTGCTTGCATATATGTATTATTGTCGTTAATGTTGTATATTATCTCATTTTAAAGTAATCCCCGGTGAAAAACCGAATAAGTTATTATATCTCTGAAAAAAATAATTGAAAGAAAAACAACTATTGTTTGTTATAAATTCTTCAATATTGATGATTTGTTTCATTTAATATTGGTTAATGACTCTTATACTCACTGAAATAATCTAAAAAAAAAATGTGATAGGCTGAACTGCCCATTTTGATGATTTTGAAAGTAAGCACGTCTTATTTGTTGAATTGGGAATCCTATTAGAAATAAAAAAGGGGGGTATTAATCAGCTGTGCTGCTGTGCAGTCATAATTAGTTGTAATTGTATAGATCATATACACAAACGAGAAAAAAACTTATTTTTAACCTTAAAAAATAAAATAGTTTTGTGTGTTGTGTAAAAAGGAATTAATTTTTTTTTGATATAACCGAAAACTGGAGCTGTGCCAACACTTCTTCCATATTTCATCTACTGTCCATGTCCATCGTCTGTCCTCCTTTCCCCTTCTTTGGAATTCTTTAGTCATCATTTTTGTTATGTTTCTTGACTTTCTTTTATTTGGACGTAATACCAAATTATATTTATACTATACGTATATTATATCGTAAATAAAATCCCTAAACATGTCGGTTTTTATTTTTAAATTGCAGTTAAAACAGTTGGCCATTTTTATGGGCCACACATCTGATCAATAAAACTTATTATAGACTTCCAAACGATGTTTATCAAATGGCTAAAATATCCAAATTGCTTCTTCTAAATGAGATGGAGAAGCGTCAAAGTTTCAAGGGAAACGTTTGGATGAAATCAATATGATCAATATAAACTTAGATCCTGTTGAAGATGAATCAAATGATGAAATAGAAGAGTCACACGAAATAATGAGCGACATGCTTACAGCAACTAAATATGATGGCCAAGTGAAAGTAAGTATACCTATTGTCAAATTTGTAGTTTTTATATTAATGAAAGACCTGAATTTTGTGTAAGTATTAAAAAATAACCTGTCAAATATCACACAATAGTAAGAATAAATAAGAAAACAATGCTCCAATTTTTGTTCTTAAACTTGTTTCCATGCGATGGCAATAGTCACTCGAGCCTTCCAGGCTTACGTGACTATTGCCAGGCAACAAGTTTCCGAAAAATTGTCGCAATAATGTCAATTTATTCTCACCCTCTAGTGATATTAACCCCGAAAATAGTGCTTGTTTTTATTATCGTAAAAATTGTTTCACACAATTTAAACGTTTTTTAGCTATGTACAGTGAGGACGTTTGAGTTGGAATACATTCATTTTCTTAGAAATGGGGGACCCTAGAAATAAATCCCGAAAAAGATCGATTTTTTATTTTTAAATTATAATTTTTTGGCATATATATATATATATATATATATATATATATATATATATATATTATATAATATATTATACATACTAGTGAGTCATCCATCAGGGCGTGATGACTTAATCGATGATTTTTTAAAATAAGAATAGGGGTCGTGTGCTAGCTCATTCGAAAGGTTATTAAATTCTCTATTCACTAGTATAAACATTAAGATAATTATCTATAAAGTGTACCCAAAAGAAACTTTTTTTTAATTAAATTATTTGAGGCAAAAAGAAGAACGTATGTAATTTGTTTAATGCAAAATACATTTTACTGCTGTCAGAAAACAGAAAAAAAAAATGGTAATTTGAAAAATAAACATTGCGTTACGCTTAAATTAAATATTCAAAGTACTAAAGAGCCAGGTGGGGGACACATTTAATATTGAATATAAACGAAGAACAATATATATTTATCAAATTAAAATTTTTCCCTCTTTCCGGAGAACATTAAAATGTATTCGAATTAATTAAATTACATACATTCTTCCTTTTTTTCCCAATTAATTTAATGCAAAAAAAGGTTGGGCAGGCACTCTGTATAAAGAATTATGTCAATGTTTATATTAGTGAAGAGAGCATTGAATAAACTTTCGAATGAGCTATGACACGATCGCTATTATCATTTAAAAAATCATCGATTACGTCATCACGCCCAGATGGATGACGTCACTAGTATGATATATATGCCAATAAATTATAATTTAAAACAAAAAATCGACTTGTTTCGGGATTTATCTCCAGAGTCGCCCGTTCTCGAGAAAATGAATTTATTCCAACTCAAACGTCCTCACTATATTAATGCTTTGGAACTTTCTTTTTGAGGTTAGTTTGGTATATTGGAATATAAAAATAACAAAAATGCATTTATTATAATATATTGCTGTTTTGTAATAAAAGTTTAATAACATATTAATAAAATATTTTAAATGACCTAAATTAATACACTTTTTTATATAATTTATATTTGGTTCTAAATCCTACTGCCAAAATTATGACCATTTTTGCCTGAATAAAACGTTACTCTGGTCATTAGGATTCTATTAAGGCATTTTTGATTGTGACGTTAAATGATGCAAATTCATAAATATTTCTGTCTTAAAAAATTAGAATAACCTATAAATAATATTTTACTCTTTGCCTTAAAACAGTTAAAATCAATTAAATTACAAATTTAAGAAAATTCACTTTTCCGGAAAAGCCAGTAATATCGACGTGAATATTTAATATTTATACATCTATTAAAACATAAATTCAATTTTCAACAATGAGGAATAATAATAGCATTTCTTGTACCTAAATAAACAGGTAGGTACGCCTAAGAAATGTTGATTTATCTCTCTTATAACCAAAACAAAGTATAGAAGGTGGTCTAGAAACAAAAAATAATTATTATTCTATTTTTCTAAAATGTATTCATGTTTTGTATAAAATGTTTCGTTTTAGGAAAAAGACAATATTATAAATCCAATCAAAGTAACTCAAAAGAAAAAAACGAATTTTGGAACCTTGGAACAATTTGCAAATAGAAAAGCTCTAACGTATTTTAGGAATCATGTTCAACAGAAAATTG